AACTGTTTTGCTGCAAATTGCTTGTTATATTTTCTTCTGTTTTGGCACGTGACTATAGATTGTTTAATAACGCTAGCTGATGATGCGTGGCTGTGATTGATGCTTAAACAAACCTATAATAAGGTAGGCATTGTGTTTTCTAGAGATTGCCGTTTGTTTTTTTTTTTCTTTGAATATTATTAGAAAATGGCTTAGCAGGCAAGATGGGGTAATGACTTCTCCAAAACATCTCCTTTCCCTTCCGGTTACCAAAAAAACCTTTCGTGTTACTAAAAAACGTGGGAAAACACAAATTATCACGTCGTCTCCCTACAAACTAGAATTATAAGTCACCGCCCAAAAGAAAAAAGATGCTGAACAGAAGAAAATTGAGAAAGTAGAAACATAGAAGAGAAAAGAGGAATTGAAAAATACAGGAGAAAGCTACTACAGAAACTCCAGCAAAAACAGCAAAACGACGAAGAGTTACAGAGACTTTATCTGAAAATTAAAGTGAATAAGAGGATACACCATGTGTGATGCAGTGAAGTATATTCCGCTTCCATTGAGGGGTGGATATCATGCTCACATTGTAGAAGATGGTGTGGGAATTGTGACGATGATGACGAAGCCAGCGATCATGTCTGCGAGTTCTGCCACTCCAAATAATTATCTTTTTGCCTGATAGTTCTCACTACCCCATCTTACCTCAGGGGGGTACCCCATCTTACCAGCACCATGGGGTAAGACGGGGTGAAACCCCTTTTTTTCTATTTTTATTTTTGTCCTAAAATGGATAGTTAAAAGTTCCTAATATTGCCAAATATTAAAAGAGTATTAACTAATTGTTAATTAAAAAATAAGTATGATTGTCTAACTATGTATATTTTTCTTTTATTGGTGTTCAAAGCTTAAGTACCCCATCTTGCCACCCTCTCCCCTATAACATATCGTCAGTGGAAAGGAAAAAGGACTAAAGCGCCATTTTGGCCAAAATGAGTTATATACATTGTTGGATAGGATTTTTTTTTCTGCGTCGATCTATCTAGGTTTCAACTCAATCCGATGACTNTATAATTCAAAAGTACAATGTTAACTTTGTGTACTACCTTTCTTATTTAGCATAATTCGTCGCCAACGCCGCAAAGGGGCGTACCTCATTTTGTAAAATTATTCAGGAGAGCTATATTAAACAGGAATATAGGATTATCATTATTTTAGCGTTTAGAGCCAGTAGAATTTCAGTGTTAACTGTTATGTATCGTAAGGTGGGCGAAGGGTTTAACAGTCAGACACAGTTCTAGACGTCGAAACAAAGTATAATTATTAAGTTATTATTACTTGTGTCGCTTGACCTCAAAAAACTAAGATAAATATTTGAATTGATTTGTGCTATTTGCGTCCGTTATCTAATACTTACCTTCATGAGCTCATCTCTTTAAATGTCATCGGTGATCGTACGTGTTGCCTCGTACAATATGACGTCTCATATTAATATGCATAACAATTTTATGGACTTATTTTACTATACTTATGTATTTAAACCACACCAGATTGTTTTGTGCCCTAAGGAGAGTCGATAGAGTCTATTAGGTATTATAATTATTTAATTAACTAAGAAAAAAATATTTATTGTTCCTATGGCACCTCAATATTTTTTATTTCTAGGATAGTACTTATTAAAAGTTTTGAAAGTCTAATATCTAGATTTATCATGAAATCCAAGAAAAAAGATAATAGCGTTGATTCTCAGAGAATGTTGTTCAAAAACCTAAAACTCGTATTTTACTTTGACTTGATTAGAGGTCAGCCAAACCTGATCAGTGATCACTATTTACAATAAGAAAAAGTTCGCGGATTCCACATTAGAGGACAAGGTATAGGTTATAAACAATATTATTTAGTGTATAATAGTGGTGGCAATTTTAGGTACAAAATCGAGCTTTGTAAATAAGCTTTTTAAATATTTTATATATTTGAGACCTTAAATCCTTGGATATGTCGTTGCACTCGTTGCCAGGTTGTGCCTTAGGCCTAGGATGCGCACCGCTATAGGCGGTTATCACTCCATTATTATATCGATTTTGCCCATATAGGCCAGTAGAATTAAACACAAAAATTGATTAAATCGGAAATAATTCCTACAAAAGATTTTTTTGCTTTAATGGCTTCATTGGTTGCCCATTAAGACTCTCCTAAGTTTTCGACTTCGACGGAGTTGTGCTTAAGTGGTGGGGGCCCCCGAAAGGGGCGTTTTTTCGGTTTTCCGGTTATACCGCGTAAAGGACTTACCCTATCGAAAAGTGGTCTTCATGACGGTTAAAGGGCACTTAATCCTGCATTGAATAAGACCAAATTCATATGTTTTGGACAAACCGTTCTCGCGCTAAAGTTCGGCAAAGTAGAAAATATACGTATAATTAATGACCCTCTCCACGTCCAATGGCTTGTTACCCACATGCTTCCAAGCCTTGTAAAGGGTCGCCTTAACCAGTGTAACCCTAACAAGGCTCACGAGTTTGATTCGCTTATCCTTGTTCGTCCCAGCCGTTCCTTAACTGCGGTTGCTGCACCTCTTCCTGGCACTCTCCTGAACGACTCTGTGTTACCTAATGTGGCTGCCCCTCTTCCTTGTACCCTCCTGTACGATTTCATTGCTTAGCCATATGCCTGGTCCAAGGTTCGACGCCACAAAATCAACTTCGTACGAGTGAAAATAGTTTAAATACTATTTCCCGTGCTTGCAACATTTTTCTTTACTGCTTCGCCTCTATTAGTCGTAGAGTGATTGTATATATCCTATAGCCTTCCTCAATGTATGAGCTATTCAACACAAAAATAATGATTTCAATCAAACTAGTAATTCTTAAGATTAGCGCGTTCAAACAAACAAACAAAAAACTCTTCAGCGTTTTAATATGAACTTGTTGTTGTTGATTTTTGGCGTCGAACCTTAGACCAGGCATACGGCTAGGCAACGTAGTCATGCAGGAGGATACAAGGAAGAGGGGCAGCCACAGTAGGTAACACAGAGTCGTTCAGGTGAGTGCCAGGAAGAGGTGCAGCAACCGCAGTTAAGGAACGGCTGGGACGAACAAGGATAGGCGCATCAAGCTCGTAAGCCTTGATAGGGTTACACTGGTTGAGGTGGCCCTTTTCAAGACTTGGAAGCCTGTGGGTAACAAACCATTGGACGTGGAGAGGGTCATTAATTATACGTATATTTTCTACTTTGCCGAACTTTAGCGCGAGAACGGTTTGTCCAAAACATATGAATTTGGTCTTATTCAATGCAAGATTAAGTGCCCTTCAACCGTCATGAAGACCACTTTTTGATAGGGTAAGTCCTTTACGCGGTATAACCGGAAAACCGAAAAAATGCCTCTTTCGGGGGCCCCCACCACTTAAGCACAACTCCGTCGAAGTCGAAAACTTAGGAGAGTCTTAATGGGCAACCAAAGAAGCCATTAAAACAATAAAATCTTTTGTAGGAATTATTTCCGATTTAAAAGCTAATTCTACTGGACTAATACATTTTGACGTCGATAAAGTATATCACGGCGCGCTTCCTAGGCCCACAGTAGCCGGGCTGATTTATTTTTATCGATTTTACGCGATAAGCCCATACATTTGTCATAAAATCGCCGATAAGATTTTATCACGGCGCACATCGTACTTAGCCCGACCGCGGCATAATGTGGACGGCGGGTTTATCCGTTTCTTGATATGATTATAATAATTTATCATGGAATGTTAAGTTACATCATGAAATGATCAATTCTAGACCTGATTATGACAGACCATAAATGAATAGGTAATGTCAAGCACCCATTCATCATCACCATCATCATTTCAGCCATAGGAAGTCTACTGCTGAACATAGGACTCCCCCAATGATTTCCACAATGGCCGGTTGCGTGTGGCGGCCTGCATCCAGCGCCTTCCTAATTATATTCATAACATGATATAAATGGTTCTGCAAATTAATAGGCTCGAATAGGAAATAATCGTAATAGCAAGTGTGTGATATAACTACTCGTACGTTAGATAATTCTGAACCAATTTTCAGCTTTATCGATCTCACATATTATTGATTGGTATAGTCAATTGATTATTAGCTAGATTAATTAATTGATCGTTTCTCGAAATCCAGTTTACTAGCACGAACGAAAAAAGTTTTTACTAGAAAACATTAAATATATTTGCTCTTGTTGTTTAGATATTTTATGAAAACCTCAACTACTTATTTTGCGTAGGTAACCTATTTTAATAATAAAGAGTAAAACATTTTTTTAGTGTCGCTGCTTAGAATTAAAAAATATATTCATGAATTTTAGTTAATAAGTGACAATAAACTTTGTTACTATGACAACTGTTTATGTATTCATCAATGACGTCATTCGTGTGATATGTAGCTGTGATTTCTTTAAACAAAGTAATGTAAATATTAAATACATTTTTTACAACTGGTAACGACTGTCCAATTCTAAATCTCACTTCTGTACTATATGAAAATTAAAATGAAGATTAACTAGGACGTAAACATGATGCTATTCGAACATGCATCTTATCAATACAAATCAATACATGCAACTTATCATGAACATGCAACTTATCATGTACATGCAACTTAATTATCATGTAGTTAATGAGTTAATTGATTTTCGCAGACATCGATTTGTGACATGATCAACAATGCCAATATTTATAGGCAATTACGTAATAATATACTTAAAATTATAAATGCATCATAAAATTACATTATTTGCTTTCTCTCGTTAGATGGTTCGCTAACATTAATTATTTTTCCTAACTCTACAATACCAAACAAAATCACTAAGGCTGGATTGCACCATCTTACTTTAACTTTAACAAACGTCCAAAATCTGTCAATCTCCATACAAAAAACACCAATTATCGTTACAGTTATGATCAAAGTTAGGTGCAACTCAGCCTTACAGTATTTTTCTTATTTCAAACCTTAAATTGTAAAATGCTAAAGTATTTGTTGTTCTACTCACCCAATATAAAATGGCGCATCTTGAAAGTGCGCTGCTCTCAATCTGAAATTAAAATTGCATACTTTAAATTTCAAACTGCATACAAATATGCGACGCTCTTTTTATAGCTTGTAATACTCGAAAATTTTATGCGTTTACTGCCTTCCACGTTCTATTATAAAATTCAGTTAAGCTGGGTTCTCACGGACTACAATGGTTTGTAATTTTTAATTTTAATTTTAAGTACTTTTACTATAGGAACCGTACTACGTTATAAATGTAAATTGAGAATGTTACTAGGTATGCAAAATCACTTGAAACCTATGTTACAGTTAAGCTTTTACATATACAAATACATTTGTTTTTATTTCATTCAAAAATACCAAGTAGTTATGATTTTATAGGCATTCAAAGTTCGCTTAAATATAGAGTCCCGCCGACGGTCACGTGACCCCGCGTGACGTACTATCGGGGACTCGAACGCCTTGACACCTTAAGGGCCTAAATTGTTTGCACACACACGCTCGATTTTGCTCCGCCCCCGTTCATTCATGTTTCGAGTCTAAGCAGCGTCGGCGCACCACTGTAGATGTTTGCCCTAGCAAACCAAGCTCTATGTAAAGCACTTAGGATTGAGTATTGCTTATTACCCGCATCCGTAGCGCTCGTTTGGCAACGTCGCATTTTAGTCAATTTGAAGCCCAATTAAGAATCGCTACAAAATATTATATGAGGCTTCGTGTAAAATTTGAACTAGCGATTGCCCGCTCGGGTCACAAAATTGCTATCGCACATTCCGAGGTAACTATGCAATTTCCCGAGAAAAAAGTAGCCCTTTCTACAATTATTGTTGATATTATGAGTGTAAATCTCATGATATTAGTTTAGCTAGTTAGGGCGAGAAATACAAAATCATACAATTACTTTCGAATTTTACTTATTTAATAGGTATTTAATTTATTCGGAACTAATAATTTAAAACAATATGTTATTGAATTAATTAGTAAAGAGTTAAGGAATATTTGTGGCTTAAAAACAATTATTGTAAGATCTGGCTATAACTTTCTTAAATCCTTGAATGTTAATAAAAACTTATAATAGGTTTCTATTTATTTTTAATGCATATTTTGTTTTCCGTTTTAAAGAAACACTTATCTACGTTATTAAAATTTAATATAAATATTGCACTAGGTAGCAATGATCCAGGTAATTGGTTATCGTAAATATTATAATATTAAGTTAGTTTTATTTCAAATTCAATTTTTTATTGCACATTAAGTGTCTTTACACAAGGTCTTAAATCTATAACAATTAAACTTCAAACTAAATAACACTTAAACAGTTAACAATGTATAGATAAGTTTGTAAGTAAATATAAGAATTATTTTGAGAGGCATGGTTCAGTAATCGAGCGGAGGTCAATAAAAAGGCAATCAAACAGTCCAATTACTAGCACGGGTCAACACAAATCAATCGGTTATTGATCACGAAACTTCACAAAAAAACAAAGGAGAGAATATGTCGACAGATCGCCAAAGCAAAAAGCAGACAGACCTCGTATAAAAACACAATATTAAAAAAAATACATATCTATTTGTTTGTAACCAAATTCTATTATTAAAATTCTAAGGCTCAGTTGCACCATCTTACTTTAACTTTAACAAACGTCAAAATTCTGTCAAACTCCATACAAAAAGCACCGGTTACCGTTATAGTTACGGTCAAAGTTAGATGGTGCAACTCAGCCTAAAACTAAGAAAGATTGAAGAAAAAGAAACATTTCGTTTTAAACCTTAACCCTATGACAATAAAGTGCACAATGGTATTTCGTATTGCAACCTAAGCCCTGATTGTCTCTTATTGGTCGTAGTAAAAATATAGTAAAATGCGTAACCAATTAGAGACGGGGTGAGCACGTGACCGGAGCGATGCGCTTACGCTAAAATTTCTACAAAGTGGTCAGGCGGAAGAGTCCCCGATAGTACATTCACAGTGTCCGCTCACTAGACAACGGATATAAACATACTTAAATACATTTTTTTTTGTAAATACATACTTATTATACACATTAACACCCAGACCCATCACAGAAATTAAAATTGAACCAAACCCAAACTTGATGCGATTGTGTCGTTTTATTGCGAATTACCTTCCAGCTCCATCATCAGACCCTGATTACTATATAGAATTAAAGTACTCATCAATACAAAACGAACGAGCCCAAACTCGATGGATTTAAGTCGTTTTATTATAGAGTTCCTATGGCCACCTTCCAGCTCCATCATCATATCAGCTCCATGTCATCATAATATTGCATGGTCATCCAAATCACATGTGTATGCGAAATTTCAGCTTAATCGGTTGCCCGGAAGTGGGTCTTAATTCAGCTTGCAAGATTCCACCCATACAAATATGAGCCAGTCACTGTAATATGACGTCACGCGCATAAAATGGCGGGCCGGCCGCCGCCCGCACTTTTAAAATTCAATATCTTGGAAATTAATTGACGTATCGAAATAATTCTTTCACGTGTATTTTTTATTTTTAACAGAGAATACCGAAAGCTAAAAAACAAAATTAGTGAACATTCTTCATTATGCGTAGCTGCGTGTAGGTTTAGTAATAAAGGGTGATTTTCATTAAAGTTACTAACATAAGAAACATTATGAATATTTAAGTGGTTATTTTTAGTATATTCGTAACTATTTTAAGAATGGTATTCGGAAACGACAGTCTTTGAGCATTTTGTTCGAGTGTTCTCAAGAAAATATTCAAGCCTATGATTGATCTAAAAGTAATTTACTCTTAATCCTGAATCCCCTAAGTAGATTCATACTTCTGGTTTAATTTATAAAGGCATAAAGGGCCAGGGCCTTTTCATACTTAAAACTATCGTTTTGACTTTTCTAATTGTAAATTATTCTTCGCATTTAGCCTTAAGATATTTTAACATGATACTCAAATGCATCTCATACTCAATATTTTCAAGCCTGTGATTGTTCTTAATCAGATAGCTACATCAATAACATTTTATCACCGATGATCAGCGTAAGTCAACTTGAGAAACCTATAACTGTCACTCCATTAAATTGGCGAATGGCCATTGTGTTAATTCCTGTGTGTCTCCAATTCTAGAACGGTCTCTGTGGCATAGTTTCGATTCATAAAGGGTCGCAAAGCAATATCTGAGTCCATTAAGACATTTAAAAGATGTCAGTAGATCATATTATAACACACTACACATCATACACTACACATTACTCACACACTGCTATTTTTGTTCTTAGTTAAATGTATACCAACTTAATGTTATTTGTTAATGTCTTTGTCTGAAACGCCCGTCTACTTAGAGGTGGGCGCTAACATCTGCGACACAGTCTTAGACTACTGCAAATGTTAACGCTAAAATGATTGTGTAAAATTGTTTCTGGTTTCAAATAAAGATTTATTAAAGATTATTAAAGATATTACATTTTACTATAAAACACAGACTTTTTTAATGTGTAACTAAACCAATGTTATTTTTTATTTATTTCTATAAATAGCTGTAAATCCTTGTAAAAATAAATTAAAGTTTTAACTAAATATTTTATGAATCCTAATATTTTTTAAAATTGCAATATTATGTCCTAAGCTTAACAAAATGGACGGTCAAACAAGGAGCGGACACCTCATTATCGAATTTTATTTCGTAAAACCGGCTCGAAGGACAAATATTATTTACATTACTAAAATATGCGGATCGGTTTTTGTTTAAAAAACATTAATTAATGATAATCTCAAATGGCTATTGAAACGGGTTTCTAGCGAAGTATTTAATGCGGATTTTAAAACTAAATAACTCGGCAATAAGAACTTATTTTTTTTTATAAAACAAAACAATGGCACTTGATAATCGACAGTTCTTTTTAAAATTAAGCACCATAATGCTCAACTATAAAGGAAAGGTCCGTTAATGTCCACAACAAAGCAAGCATGACCTACTTTTTAATGTGAACGACCGGCTCAATACTTACGTTATACTGGCTACTTGCAACACAGATGCACAATAATTAAAAACTCAAATACTCGCAAACTTTTTGTTGAAAAAAAGTAAAACGTCAAAAAAGCGCGGGAACGCGGCCGCGCGTGCGCCGATCTCGGTCGAGAGTGACGTCGCGGAAGCGGGCTCAATGTTTATATGTAGACATTTAACAGTTATATCTGAAGGAACCGTAGTAGAAATAGAACTGACTCCGTAAAACAATGATTTAAAATAGTTTTTTTTACAATTATCTGTTTAGAAGCCGTGTGGTAGAGGTCCTGACTCTACAGACACTGAATCCATTAATATTCAGACACTGTAGAGTCGCATAGTTTCCGGCGTAAGCGTCAAAGTACCACTATGTAGGTACTAAGATGTACCTATGCAATAGTACGTAATTCAGAAAATTACACAGAATTGTGCTTTAATATTAATATTATGACTTTTGGTTGGTAACCAGCCTGATTTTTTTTTAAATAGTGCTCGTATTATGTTATTTTTCGTCTAATTTAAATTGATTAGTTCAGGTAATTTTCTTGTTAACACTGTAGGTGTACCTACGTTAGGCTTTGATCTTACTATACCCGATACAAAACAATATAAAATTTTATAAATAAATAAATCTTGATCAAATCTGCTAATTGCACTATTGTTACAAATGCTTACCAAAAATGGTTTTTCAGGCATTTTCCGTTAGTAAATAATTGCATCCTTTGTGTTTTTCATCATAAATTATGATAATTTTATTTTTCACTGAACCGTGCATGTTGACGATTTACATAGTTCTATTCAGCGGGGTCAATGTCATTTTGTTTCTGTTTACAATTTGGATTTGCGTTTCAAATAATAATATTAGTGATTATTTTTAAGTTAAATTAAAATTTAAAAAAGGAAATTGGGTATTTAAAAACGTAGTTCCAAATTACCTAATAGACTGGCTTCCCGCGTCCAATTAAGTTTGTCACGTATCGTCATAAATTATAGCCTATGTGTTATTCTGGGTTATAAACAAATGTTACTGTAAAGTTACTGGGTTACTGTAAAGTTTCATCAGAATCCGTTCAGTAGTTTTTGCGTGAAGGAGTAACAAACATCCACACAAACTTTCTCATTTATAATATTTATTAGTAAGATGAGTGCTGTACAAGTAGTAAAAAACTTAGAATTTCCTATTTTTTCTTTGCCGCATCTATTGATTCATAATGCAGAAAAAATTCGCAAACGCATCAAATGCTAATTGGCTAGAGGATTTGCGCGAAAAGCTTGTAAACATGCCGCTTGGCATCCACTAGACGTCTCTATCGGTAGAGATGACACTGTAAAGAGGTAACAGTCAGAGTCACACCTCTTCACGAGTTCGTGACACCCAAAAGTGACCAAAAAAATGATAACACAACCTTATTCCAACTGTAACAGACGTGTTGCGAACTTAATGGCTACTTTGAGAGTCAAGAACTTTTAGACGCTGACTGTACAGAGAGGATGATGCTAGGATACCCATTACTTACTTACAAATTAAGTCAGATAACAAGTGGCTTCTTTCCTTAGGAATCTTAGTAGGTCCACAGTGTAAATAAGACTGAATTCTTGTCAGGAAATGGCCCGAAATGCATTTTCTATGTACTTCAAATTTTCTTTTCCATCTTTTCATGATTCGACCCACGAAACATTGGCTAAATGTACAACAAACCACACGAAACCATAATCCAAAACAAAATGACTCTGTAGAGTCATGGATCCATTTAAAGTTGTTTTATTACTTGCTCAACATTACTTACCTAAGTGTCCTAAGTATATAAGACCTCTTATAACGTCTGTATATTACAAAAAAAACAACTGAAACTCTATTTAATCTTAGTTATAGATACTTATCTTGTCATTAGTCTAAATAGTTGGCTGTTTTTTACAAAAACAAATATACTAAAATAATTAACAGACTAAAAAGAAGTGATTCGTTTTCAAACCATGTCCATAGGCGCCTTCATCCACGAGTGATCACTCAAAAAATTAGGTTTTCTGTCTATTTATAAATTCTTAATTACCTACTTACGCCCAATTAGGTACATAACATAGTTATTTTATTCGCATTCTGATTTTCTAATTCTCATATACATGATTAAATTAGGTGTCAATTACTGCATGTTACAATCATCATGATGAAAAAAACTGATGTTCCTATCATAAGTAAAAAGGCTTGTACGAGTAGGTAATAATGTGCCTATTCTGCGATTCTTTAAAGTCTCTTTTATTTAGAGAATTGGTTCATATTCATATTCTACATACTGTCCCAAAATTCAACGTAGGGTGGACACGGTCATGACTACTTTAAGAAAAATAAGAAAAAAACAAGTAAGATTTTCCTAAAGTTTAACTAGTAAGTTTAAGTAGTAAGGAAAAGTAAAAAAAAAATTTGAGATAGAATTTTATTGCTTTCCGCCCGCGGCTCCGCCCGCGTGGAATGTTGTCTGTTACAGAAAAACTTATTTGCTCACCGTTTAGACCTACCCTGGACTACGACAAACATTTTAAAACCAAAATCAGCTCAATCGGCCCAGCCGTTCTCAAGTTTTAATCAGACTAACGAATATCAATTCATTTTTATTTATATAGATAGATTTTTCCCAAAGTAGTACTAGTCACGACTATACATGTACAAACTACGGCGCCGGCATATCATCGTAAAATTTTGGGACACAGTGTATACAGTACGATTACATCTACCTATAGGTAAAAGTTTGTTTTCAACGAGATTTTATTGGTTTCTACTGGCGCAGACTACACAATTCTCTACCACATATTTTGAAAACATAAAATAGACTCAATTTTCTAAGGTGGGAATCGAACCCATGACCTTTCGCTTGCCGGGCGACTGCTCCCACCAACCTACACTTACCACAACAGTCCACTTTGATGCAGTTCTTATTAAAGCACTGAAGTGCAAAATATCTCCAACAAAGAGCGAGAAGATTACTTCTTAATTTACTGTTACAGTTAATTAGTTTACAAGGAGCCAGTTTTGCAGATTGCACGCTAAAAATGGTCAAATAAAATCTGGGCCACATGCATTTTGTTTTTATTGCGTTTGCGCGTCATTATACTCGACGGTCTCCATATTGGTTCAATGTCAAATACGAACCTCAGGTATTTGAAATCCAAGTCAACAAACTACAAACCCTAAGGTCTTATCAACCGGTGCTTATTGATTTTGGCAAGATTTTCTCTTCAATATGTTATGTATGGAGGGTAAACCTTAAACTTATTATAAATACTCCTGTATGATGTGTGGTTCGCCAGTTCGCAAATAGACGTAATAGCAAACAGACCGTTGTTTCATTTTATCAGTGGCGACTGCGGGTGNTCGGTTGCTGGATATTTGATTATAAATGGAGGTTAGCAGTTTTACCCTGACTAACATTTAATGAATTTTCATGACTCTTTTTCTAAAGCGACACCTATTTTACGATCTAAAAGAGCTACAAACCTGGTGTTTTCATTAAAATTTAGGCAAAAAATCAAGAACACGATTGCATTTTAAAAGAACTGTTTAACATTAATATCAAAAGAGATACGAATTTTTTTCGTAAAAAAAAAACTTTGATCCTCATTTCCCACAAGTACGGTTTTGGCGCTTTAGTCTTTTTTCCTTTCCACTGACGATATATTTTTTTCAACTATTTCTGTGCAGCAGTAAAAGAGGAGTAGGCTTTACAAAATGACCATTTTACGCGGATTGAGGACACTAATCGCCATAATATGAGTGATCTCCCAATGATATCGTTTCAAACGTTCTACAGTGTGCTTACCATGAGTTCACGTTAGGTGTGCTCGCTAGCGAGTACGTCAAAAAAATCTATGAAGATTTTATTTCTTGAAAGTAGCCGCTACGGGGCGCTGCACAATATGTCATACATTTAATGTCATTTTTTTACGCAGTCGCTAGCGAGCATACGTAACGTAAACTCATGGTAAGCACACAGAACCCAGAAAACAATGCTATATGAGTATATAGGTACCCCTAGTGAGAGCTTTATCTAAACGAGTATTCAAACGAGCGAGCGTTACAATCGAGTTGGAACGCGATTTGGGCGGTGCAGCACTGGCCGAAAACTACTGACACTGCACTCCCCTGCATTACAACATAATACTGTTAGAGCGCTTTAGGGGTTTTGGCGCGGAAGATTCGTGTTCGACAGTTTAAAGAAGGGTTTAGTTTCATCGCTTCGTACAGACAAGTGCTTTGCCTACAGGGGAAATGCCTTTAGGCGATTTAGCAAAATAAAAGATTTAGTGAAAATAAATGTTATACTCTACTTACTCTTCGTTTGATTTGAGTTAACTTGTTTAAAAAGTAATTTGGTTATTGCAGGTATCGATTGAATCAATGAATTAGTTAAAATTATATAAGTTCGTGTAAGAGATAAAATTCAAATTTAAATGTCTTCTAATTACAAAGACAGACTTATTCTTCATTGCAAATATCTTCATAAATGTTTAACTACAACTACTGAAGTAAAAAAATAACTATTCTACAAAAACTACTTATCATACCTTTTTGTTTTGTGGGGTAACCTTATTATTTATATATTTATATCATAAAGTTGGTACTGACATTTGTATTGTACAAAAACCCAAACAACGTGTCATATAAAGTCAAAGAGCGAAAGTAGTAAAAGCTCAGGAGGCTACAAAATCCGATTTGTACTAAACCGCCTCGTAATTATTTTTTCTCTCCCCGGCGCGGCGCGCATACGTTCCATTACGGAGGGATCAACATGGTACTGGCAGCAGAAACGGCCAAAACACTTCTTTCTTAAAAAAACTTGAAAAAAAAACCAATGTAGGTAATGCAATATTTTGGTCATAAGTAATCTTTTCTTAGTTTTCTTAATAGCCATCTTTTCTTAATTTTATTAAATGAAAACTGTTTTGTCTAAAATAAACAAGACATGGAATAATTGTTCTAAAGCAAAAAATAAACTTAACTGCGAAAAATTGTCCCTCGTTTAATAGCAGTTAAAAATATTCAACATCACAAGAATAAAATACGATTTTTTCTATTTTTTTAATTTCATTCGTAACATGTTGACTGTACTCTACGTCTCCATTGGTCATAAAAGCGAATTTTCCTTTTATGTAGGTACGTTCCTAATATGT